CACACACACACACACACACACACACACACACACACTCTTATTTAACAGATTATATTCTTGGTAAGTGATTTAATGCGTGTGATTATTGAGAGCTCTGGTGGCCTTCTCAGTAGAGAGTTGCACTACTAGCTCTGAGGTCACATCTCACTTGTTGGAATCTGTCGGCTACGCTGTGGAAGATAGATGGGTAGTCTCTTTTTGCACAGTTTACAGAGTCAGAACCCCAATGGAGGGTCAGGTTTGAAATGGTTCTAACTCTATGGCAATAAGTAGAGTTATTGTGATTTTAAGTTGTAATGTGATGCTTTTTGTAATTTGAGATGATTATTTTGTTACTTTGTTCACTTACTTTCTTTGTTGTTTTCTTCCTTTCCTGCTTCTTTTGTCTGATTTTACAGAGGCAAATACCGTATTGTATACATAACTCCAGAATTCTGCTCAGGCAACTTGAACCTTCTAAAGGAACTTGATGCCATTATTGGTAAGTCATACAGGAGGATTTTTAGAAGTATTTTTTGAATTGTAGTTGCTCGATGCTGTTGAGTCGAGCTTGACTTATCAGGACCCTATGAACAATAAATCTTTATCCTGCCCTATCTTGTGTCATCCTCATTATCTTTTATACACTTGAGCCCATTGCTGCAGTCTCTGTGTCATCCATCTTGATGGGGGTTTCTTCCTTTCTTTCGCTGGCCCTTCACCCTTCCAAACATGTTATTCTTTCCCAAGGAGTAGTCTCTCCTAGCAGCATGTTCAAAGTATGAGAGACAAAGCTTCACAATTCTTCCCTTCAAGGAGCCCTTCAGCAGTACCTTTTCCCAGACATACCTGTTCATTCTTTTGGCCGTTCATAGGATATTCATTGCTCTTCTCTAACACCACAGCTCAAAGGCATCAGTCTTCTTCTGCCATCCTTATTCATTGTCCAGCTATCACACGAATAGTATGTAATTGAAAAGAGCATGGACTGATCAGGTGCACTTTAGTCTTCAAACTGACGTCAGGGCTTTTCAGTATGTTGGAGTGGTCCCTGACAGTGAACTTGCCTAACACAGTGTTTCCTGTTTTCTGACTGATACCAAGGCTGTTGATTTGGGATCCAAGCAAGAAGAGTTATATCTGTTAAAGTTTAACCTGTGGATGGCTGGATGCAGGTAGTCTCTGGATTAAGGTCTTACAGACAACTCCTGCTTACTCCTTATTATGTACATTTGCCCTCATTTTGGAAATACTGAACTTGAACCTGCCCTCAACAAGTTATTTATCATAATCCCCTTTCCTTACATCACCTATGACCTGGAAGTCATTGAAAAGCCTTCAAGCTTTTTTTGCACTAATTCTTTGAACTTGTTCATTCTATTTCTAACCCTTGTTGAGAATTTGCCTCCCCACCAACCCAGATATCTTATTAAAACATAGATTAAAAAAACAGATAAAACATAGGTTATGATTCCAGTATACTAGGAGTGGAAATGAAAATTCTCAGCATGAAGAATTGAATGAACCTTTTTGAAGGATTTCACTAAGAACTGTATGCACTCTTACCAGATGCAATCTACAGATTCAACTAGGAATGCATTGTTTTAACTTGCAGAGTGCCAATGCTAGACTTTGCCCTTGAATTCATTTTAATAATTATTTTATATACAGTCTTTAAGATTTCTTCTCAGACTATTGTAGTTGATATCTTTATTTTGTAATGTCTTTATTTTAATATTATTCACTTTACTTATAGTGTCTTTATTTTACTTAATAGTTCTTGGTACAGTATCACATTGCATGGCATGCGTATGCAATCACATGTATTTTTTTAATTTACTGAGCTTCAGATTCTATGAAATTGTTACTTCTTATATTTTGAATCTAAATTAATCAGTGTAATAGTTATTCACCCTGGTTCCTCATGAGAATCATCTTTGAAACTTTAGAAAAGTCTAGATAATTATCCTTTAGCTTTGAAAAGTTTTAGTTAAGAGTTGTAATGTGGGACAAGTATTGAATATACCATGGACTTCTGGGAGAACGAACAGGTTCGACCTGGAGAGGGTGAAGTCAGGCTGCTCCTTGGAGGAAAGGATTCTGAAGCTTCGTTTTACATAATTTGGACATGTTGAAAGGCGGGATCAGTCCTTAGAGAGGGACAGCGCAGGAGTGGAGTACCCTCGATGAGATGAATTGAGTCAGTGACTGGTGTAATGGGGGTACGTGTGTCAAAGACAGTAAGATTGGCAAGTGATAGAGCAGGGTTTAGGGCTGTTGTACATAGGGTCACTATGAGTTGCAGACGACTCGACGGCACATAACAATGACAACAACAGTGTGGGACCCTATCATTTGTAGTTTTTTGCAATCCTGACATGTAACCAAGGTTGGGAAACATTGAGTAAGATTGATTTTAAAAACCAAAACCCAGAAATTAGAAATACATGTAATATAAATATATCAAAAACTAGTGCTTTTTAAAAAAATTTGAATTTTGTTTCCTCTTGGAGTTTAGACTCAGCTTTCCATAATACACTCTATGGTTCCTATTGTGAATGCTCATGTTTCAAACACACTATTGAATAAGAAAATGGAGTTTACCACTGTTACATAGTCTATATAATTAAACAGACATCAACAAACCCCTAAACTTTCTACTGTTCAGATGATTACAATTTAAGACAACCTTCCATCGGGTTTCTGAGGATATAAATCTTGATGGTAGCACATTGTCCCATCTATCTTTCAAGAGTAGCTGGATTCACACCTTCTTGAAAGTTCTGTGCTTACTTTAGTGCAAAGCTTCAAAAAGCTTCGTTCTGTTCCACTTTCTACTGAGAATTTGCATTTCTACAACCTTCATTATGCAGATGACACACCCCTCGGTGAAACTGAGGAGCACCAGAAGCACTGCTTTTGGTCAAGGACTGCAGCCTTAAATATGAATTGAAGCTCACTATCTAGGAGACAAAAGATTCTCAACACTGGGCTGATTGGCAGCATCATCATAGATGGTGAAGAGATTGAGATTGTTCACAGCTTTAGTTTGCTTGGCTCCAAGAAATTAAAAGACTAATTGCATTGGAAAAGTCTGCTCTAGGGACCTCTGCAGAGTACTGAAGAGCAATGACATCAGTCTGGAGACTAAGGTGCGCCTAATCCAGGCCATAGTCTTCATGATTATTTGCTATGCATCTAATAGCTGGACAATGACTAGGGATGAAAGAAAGAGAATCGATGCCTTTGAACTGTGGTGCTGGAGAAGATTATTGAATATACCATGGACTGCTAAGAGAACAAACAGGTTCATCCTACAGAGAGTGAAACCAGGCTGTTCGTTGGAGGCAAAGATTCTGAGTCTTCGTCTGACATACCTTGGGCATGTTACAAGGAGGTGCCAGTCCCTGGAGAAGGACATGATGCTTCTGAGAGTGGAAGAGAGGAAGACCCTGGAAAAGATGAGACGGATTGATTCAGTGACTGGGATAATGAGGGTGGGTATGCCAGAGACATTAAGGTTGGCCCAGGATAGAGCATGTTTCAGGGATATTGTACAGAGAGTTACTGTGAGTCACAAGCAACTCAACAGCATATAACAATAACAACAACAACAACCCTAAGTATACTGTAATCTACTTTTTTTCCTTTGCAGCCCAACTTGTAATCATTGCTAAGGCTGTGTTAAGATAATTCCAGATAGTTTTCAACATCCCAACATTTAATGGCTATTTGCATATAACTTTAGGGAAGAATTTAGAAAATATTCTAACTATATATGAAAATTGTGTTTTTTAAGTATCTTTTAAGCATCCACTAAAGAATCAGAGCAGAAATTAAAACTTGAAAATATATGTAAAGGTAATTCTATCAAAGAATATATATTGGATAGTAAAATTTCCTCCTTGGCATAGTGGCTTTTGCCTTTAATGGGAAATAATGTTTTGTATCATGTTGTTTGAAGTTCTTGTTTTATTTTATTTTATTTTATTTTAGTATTTGCTTTGGTTTTGTGAGTAAGTGCATCATTTGCTTAAATATTTGTTTAGATTCTTTTGAGAGTTAACACTGTTTTCATTTTTGTAATGGGAACACCAAAAACATTAAAGCATAATATTCTGTTATGATGGAAGAAATATTCTCTCTTAGGTACATTCCTTGGTGTACTCTCATTGTTGAATAAGAGGGATAAATGAAGTGAAAATTATTCTTGAAATATTTTCCTCTCACTTTCTGTTTCCTGGGAATTGTGAAATGCTTGCCAAAAAAGCAATGTACTCAGATGGCTATTTGTATAGTAGTTTGACATTTAGCTAATCAGATTTACCATTTTTATGATAAATGTTAAATTAACTACTCTGGGTTTATAACAGAAACAGCAAACATAATTTTACAGACATTCTTTAAAACTTACCACAGTTATGATTGTCTTTCAAATTTAAAATAAGGTTTGAATGACAAATATGGCCTAATGAAATATGTATAGGGCCTTGCAGACACTTAGACCTTCATATTTAAAGCAAATGTTGACAAAGCTTACCTAAACTGATTGTGAGGAACAAACTTTAGATCTGGATTGTCAGTTTGTTATGCTTATAAATAAGACTTTTAAAAGAAAGGAAAATTTGAAAGTAAAAGACCATTATTTTTGTCTTAACCCAAAGTCTGAATGATTTATTTTCTAAAACGAAAATAAGAATCGTGAGAACATTGAATTTATTTCCAGCTACTCAATGTTTAGTAGTTTCGTTTTTGTTTGCTTTCTCCTCTACTCATGGGACTTGTATTAAAGCTGGTAATCTCACTGCATAGAAATTATTTATTTACATGTCTCTCTCCTTTTCTAAACAATTGTGAACTTTTCAAGGTCAAGGATTGAGCCTTATTAATTTTTTTTTATTCCTAGAAAGTTCATAACAAAGTTAAACTTGTTTCTGAGTCAATTTTAATTCATAGTGACCCCTGTGTTTTAAAGTAGAACTGTCCATGGAACTGTATTGATTGAATCTTGGTACAGAAGCAACTTGGTAGTGCTTTCGTCAGTGCGGCTTTGGGTAGATTATGTGTATCAGCCTTTGCAGGCAAATGCAAACTGTTGGTGCTGCTCAAGGACCTTATATCAACGGAGAGATTTACGTCAAGGGATTAGACCATATAAGGATTTGTTTTTGTTGTTGTGTACCATTGAGTAGGAGCTGACCCATCAGTGGGTTTACAGAGGCAGTAAATCACACATTACCTATCTTCCTCAATAGAGCAGCTGGTGGATCATTCGAGAAACTGGACTTCATGAAGAAGGTTGTGGTGTCAGGATTGGAGAAATACTCATCAAGACCCTTCATTGTGTCGATGACACAAACTTGCTGAAATTGAGGAACACTTGAAGCGCTTGCTGCAGAAGTTCAAGAACTGCAGCCTTCAATATGGATTACATTTCAACATCAAGAAAATGGAAATACTAGCCACTAGGCCAGTAGTAGGCAACATTATGTTAGATGGAGA